TTCAGTAAAAGTGTTTCCATCATAGTTTATGCTCATCTTTTTCTCATCCAAAATGCGCAAAAAAATAAGTGGATGTAAACGTAGCTACTGATTAATTAAAATATGCATGTGTATATAAATAAAGCTTAATGACCCAATGTTTTAAACTGCAGTGTAGATCCAGGACATTTAGTGATGATTTGCTGAAATCATTAATAAGCAGTTTCTGTTTAGCTAAGCTTCCGACTACACTGCCAACTCTTCCGCTGTTGACAGAACCTATGATCTGCTGTTTACTTTTCTCAAGACATTTATTTCAGTGGTATGCATGGGACTGACAGGGCTTTTCATGCGTGGTATTTTCAAAAAAGAATTTATTGCACCTTCAAGGCCTGTTTGTGTATTACACGTGTCATTTACCTTGTAAAAAGAAGCGTAGAACCAGTTTTTCCTCTCCGTCTAACCATGACTTTTCCTTGACATAAAACAGTCTGCCTCTTTATCTCAGATAAGCTCTTTCTGAAGGCGCCAAGCATACTTGTGACTAAAGCGTTATGTACACAGTTTCCTCCTGAGAGCGTATCGCTGGTCTCATACAGGAATCCCTGTCCGCTGGCAGTCCGGGCCATCATTAGCCCTGTGCTGTGATAACGAGGCATCTTGGTTCTCAGCGGTGGGTTAATTGAAGCACAGAGTATGGCGACGCACGTCAATAGAGGAGGGCAGCTTGGACTTGCACGCTTTATCCGTGTTGTGAATGACCACAACCTCGAAACCGTCAGGGCGTGTGACCCCCCCGTCTGCTCGCTAATCACCATGGCGATGAAGGATTCGAGCGGCTCACTGCTCTGAATAGCGGCCACTTGAGTTTTGGCAGCACCCGATCGCATTTGCTACATGAATAATGTATGCCTTGAGGCCCCTTGTAGTACTGGGGTCTTTGCATTGAGTGTATTGTAGCAATGTTTTTTTTTTCTTTGCGGGGAAGATTTGTCAGGCTGCTTTGCATATTGCTTATCCCCAGGGGAACTATGTGGTGGTATGTGGTATTAGTGCAGTTTAGATTGATGTTTTTATTTTGTTGTCCAGACGTTTACTAATGCTTGCCTTTTCTAAATATTGCAGATTTGTAAATTATTTACATAAGATCAGTACAATTTAATTAAAAACGTTTCTAGCCAGATATGTCTGTCTGTTGGTCTGTCTGTCTGTCTGTCTATTTATCTATCTGTCACTCTGTCTCTGTTATTTCAGCTATCTGTCTGTCACTGTCTATTTGTCTGTCTGTCTGTCTGTCTGTCTGTTTGTCTGTATTGTTCATTGTCTGTCTGTTTGTATTTGTTGCTCTATGTCTGTATTTGTCTGTCTGTCTGTCTGTCTGTCTGTCTGTCTGTCTGTCTGTCTGTCTGTATTTGTCGTTCTGTCCATATTTGTTGCTCTGTTTGTCTGTAAGTCTGTCTGTCTGTCTATCTGTCTGTTTGTCTTTCTGTATGTATGTATTTGTTTGTCTGTCCATCTGTCTGTATGTTTGTCTGTATTTGTCCATCTTTCTGGCTATCTGTCTTTCTATCTGGCTATCTGTTTGTCTGTCTGGCTGCATGTCTGTCTGTATTTGTTGCTCTGTCTGGCTGTCTGTCTGTCTGTATGTTCGTCCATCCATCCACCTGTCTGTATTTGTCGGTCTGTCTGTCTGTCTATCCGTCCGTCCATCCATCCATCCATCCATCCATCCATCCATCCATCCATCCATCCGTCTGTCTATCTGTCTTTATTTGTCGTTCTGTCTGTCTGTATTTGTTCGTCTGTCCGTCTGTCTGTATTTGTCTTTCTGTCTGTCTGTCTGTGACTGTCTATTTTTCTTTTTAGTCAAAGTGTGAATCTATCTATCATCTATCTATGTCTGTCTACACCACTCTGTCTCTCTCTCTCTCTTTGTTTCTTTCACAATATCTGACTTCTGTCTTTCCATCAGTTTGTCACTCACTTGTGCTCTATCTGTCTGTATAGTTCATTCTATCTGTCTGTCACTCTATCGTTCTAATTGTCACTCTGTCTCTCTCTATCACACTATCAGTCTTCTATGTTTGTCATTCTCGGTCTGTCAGTCTTGTGCTCTGTCTGTGACTCTTTGTCTGTTACTCTATCTTTAGGATTTTCACTCTGTCTGCCTCTATCACTCTATCCACCTTCTGTGTTTGTCACTCTGTCTGTCACTTTTGTTCTTATTATTTCTCTGTTGGCTTCTATATCTGTCTGTCTCAATCTGTCTTTATTTTTCTCTATCAGTCTTCTGCTCTGTCTGTCATCTTATTGTCTGTGTCTTCTGTGTTTGTCACTCTAACTGTCTGTTCTCATTGTCGTGTTGCGTGTCTGTGTCTGCCTGTTACTTTACTGTTGTTCTAATTGTCAGTCATTGTCAGTGCTCCTCTATCAGTCTATCACTCTTGTGTCACTAACTGTCTGTCTGTGTCTATTGCTCTGTCTGTCACTCTATCATACTGAATGTCACAGTCTGTCGGTCGTTGTCACTCTACCTTGTTTTTTTGTCTATCACTCTATCCTATCTGTAGTCATGTGAACAGCAATACTGTTATGACCTGTTATTACCTGATTTTTTACTTCAACAATGACTACTGCCAGAATATTATATAACGAACGACACATTACATTACCTAATTAATATTAATAAGCTCTGATTTTCTGCTCGGCCGAGGCAGTGGCGCATTAGGTAGTGCTGACGCCTCACAGCAAGAAGGTCGCTGGTTCGAACCTCGGCTCAGTTGGCGTTTCTGTGTAGAGTTCGCATGTTGTCCCTGCCTTCGTGTGGGTTTCCTCCGGGGGCTCTGGTTTCCCCCACAGTCCAAAGACATGTGGTACAGGTGAATTGGCTAAGCTAAATTGTCCTTAGTTTATGAGTGTGTGTGTAAATGTGTGTGGATGTTTCCAGAGATGGGTTGCGGCTAGAAGGGCATCCGCTGCGTAAAAACTTGCTAGATAAGTTGGCAGTTCATTACGCTGTGGTGACCCCGGATTAATAAAGGGACTAAGTCGACAAGAAAATGAATGAATGAATGATTTTCTGCTCATCTCTTCTCTATTTGTTTAAATTGGCACTTTGAATATGTCTTTCAGTTGATTCATCAGCCAATTGTTTACTCTCCCTGGTTAATGTTTATGTCACTGCGTGCTTGGGAAGTGTCTGTTGTAAATTGAGATGTCCACCAGCTGATAAGCATGCACTCAAGTCCTAGAGCTCTTCCTATAGTAGCCATGGAGACATCTGTATTGTGAACTGAATACTAAGATATTCTCTGCTACATTTCACTCAACAGCCAGACTCAGACTTTTGGTTCGCAAAAACACAGCCTGAAAATGATTTTTTTTAGGGTTAGCGCAACCACAAATGAAAATTCTGTGCAACTTCATGTGTAATTTTTAGTGTTTGTTTGAAATTTGTGTGTGTGTGTGTCATAATGTGATAATTAACTGTTTCTGTGATCTATGAAGGAAGGAAATTTAGAAAAAAAAAACTCTGCGCTCTGCCACTTTAGCTCTCAAAAGACAAATTTACTTGGGCAACGTTTAACCTACAAAATACACAGGAGAACTCAAAATATAGTCAAACTCTAAACATCACACCTACAAACAATAATCAGCCTAATTAATAATAAATAAATAAGTAAATAAATAAGAAAAATACACAAGTCAAATCTAACAGAAACAAAACAAAACAAAAAAAACAGTGGGGGAAATAAGTATTGAACATTTCACCATTTTTCTCAAAAAACATATTTCTAAATATGCTGTTGATTCCCCGGATGTTGCTAACAACCAAAGATATCCATAAATGCAAAGAAAACAAATCTAATTAGTTTACAAATCAACTTATGTGTAATAAAATGAAATAATGCAGGAATATAAAAAGCTTCCCTCTGCAGTAAAATTTGATCTATATCACCTCCTCTAGGTATTTAAACTTGTTTAATGCATGAATAGCATAGTGTTGTTATTTAGAAAAATTTGGCAACACTTTCTTTTACAGTTGGGAAAATAAGTATTGAACATGTCATGTTTTTTCCTGTAATAATAATAATAATAATAATAATAATAATACTATTTCTAAAGGAGCTGGCTTCTAGTGTAAAAATCTTTGTGGGTGTCTGTCTATCAAGTCTGTCTATAGTATATCAAATCTAATCTTTAATTTGTATTTTTTATTGGATTAACATCATGTGATTGGCTGGGCCATTCTACAGCTTGATTTTCTTTATCTGAAACCCTTTAAGAGTTTTCTTGGCTGTGTTTTGGATCATTGTCTTGCTGAAATGTCCACTCTGGTTTCATCTTTATCATAATGCTAATGTAGGTGTTGGATTAAAGCAGTGAATATTATTTACACTTGCGAAGGGCAGAGGGTTGCTGAATATTTACTGAGATATTTTAGCTTCTGTCTGGACTTTCATTGCCTTTCTACACCTCCTTTTCTTCATGTGTTCAATACTTTGTCCCTGCGTCATTTCATTTAATTACACATAACTTCATTTGTAAACTATAAAAATTTGTTTTCTTTGCATTTATGAGTTTATTTGGTTGTTACCAACATCTGGTGAAAATTTCAAGTCAACAGCACCTTTAGAAATGCTCTATCTGAGAAAATGGTGACATGTTCAATACTTATTTTTACCTCTGAAAGTACCAACTCTTACTATTAACTAGCAGCTTATTACCTGCCTAATATGAAGATGTTTGCTGTATATTTATACTTATAAAGCACATATTCTAAATGATCATATTATTCTTACTCAATGCCTAAACCTAACTATACCTAAATAACTATTAATAAGCAGTAAAATAGGAGTGCATTGAGGTAAAAGACATACTTAATTGTTTGTATATAGTGAGAAGTGTGACTAGAAATGTATAATGAGCATATATATGGAACACAAACCACTCGTAGGAATGACAATCCCTTTTACATGCGGAAGTCAAGAAAAAAATTGTTTCTTTTTTTTCTCAACCAGATCCAAGCATGTGCTCGCACTAGCCGAACCCTTAAATAATGCCAAACTCCAGAAGAACCATCTAGAACTGGAGCTGGAGATAATCGAACAAGCTGCAGAACTGGCAGTGAAGGAGGAAGAAGAAAAAGACACCGAGAGCGACACCGACGACTCCTCAAGCAGCAGTGGTGACTCCGATGATGAAGATGACAGCGATGAAGAGTGTCCTGAAAATGCTGCAGAAAAAAAGCAAACAGCATTCAAAGCTCATGCAGAAGCCGTGACTGAAGCTTCTTGTGTGGAGCTCCAGCGTGGCGACGGACGATTGATTGAGGAGCTGGGAAAGAGGCTGGAGGAGGAGCTGACGATTGAGGAGGACGTGCCTCAGGAAAGACGCTCTGCTAGTGAGGGAGAGGGAGAGAGAAGGAGAGAGCATTACCATCCACACGCAGCTGAGAGCGAAAGAGACACCACCAAAGCAGCAACCGGTAAAGAGTTGCTCGATGTCTGCCTTCAGAGGAAACCGTTGCGGATCCTAAACACTGAGGAACTAGATAGTGATGATGATGATGATGATGATGATGATGATGGAGACCTACGGATTACTGTGGTGGATGAAAGAGGATAGCAAGGACATCATTGCTTTACGGATATATTCTTACATCTACAAAAGAGCTCTTTGATGGATGTATGTTATGGATTGTGACGGTTTTATTTGTGGCGCTCTTGTAAATGCTTGTTTCACAGTGTGTGTGCGCTGTTGAAGAGTCTTCTGTACATTTTTACTGTATTTCTGTATAGTTTTATATTAAATATGTTTGCATTACTTAATGTTATTTGTGTTCAATGAATTTCATTTAGTTTTTGTAGTTTAGATCATAGATCTGTGTGATTTGGGGAAATATCTAATTGCAAAATATTATTAACAGATATTGTGATTTTGATTTCATTTGCGATTTTATTTTTGTAGTCAAGCTTTAGCTTAATATATTGTATTGGAGCTTCTTAATGCTAAAAATTTAGTGAGGGTTAGTTAAAAAAAGGAACTGAAAAGATATTAACTAACCTAAACATTTATTCAAATTTATTTATAAATATTCAAAAATTATACAAATTTTTCTCTAGAGCAAACAGTAGTGAGTTCTGGCGTTAGGTGTCTCTTGGTGCCTTTGTGATGTATTTTCATATGGTGTAACAGCTGCAAACATCTCTGAAATTGTACTTTGCTGTTGCTCGCTATTAGATTGAGCGTCACTGGCAATACTTTAAGCTGATTTTTTTTTAGCAACACGCTCCTCATATAGCCGCCTGTGGTGTTTTTTAGGTGCTGGTTGTTATATTTTCTCATGCTGCGGCTACAATTCTGCAACAGCTCTTACAAATGATCTGTTTTTGTTTGGTGTCTGTGACTTTGAAACCAAAATATTCCCATATTATCGATGTCCTGTTTTTCTTGATATGAATTTGTCTGTTAATGTTTCTAAAGCAGCAGACGCCATCATCCTACTTGTCTGCACTTTCCTGTTTGTTTGTTTTATTGTGAGTTTTCCGCATTCGGTTGCGCAATTCTGATTGGACAGAACCAAAGTGTGTTTACTCAATAGGCTAGTTAGACTTTCATACGCAGACGGCAGTCATGAATTTGCTCTGGGTGGGGGAAATTATATAATACATTTATATTTCATATCACAGCCTCCTGCAATTACCTAGTCACAATGTTTTAAATCACGATTGTGATTCAATTTCGATTAATTACACAGCTTTTGTTGATAGCAATAATGAAAGTACTTTTTTTATTACTACTATTACTGTTTTGTTTTTTTAATACTATTATTAGGGTTTTTTGTATTTATTATACAAAGTTAGATTAACATTTTTTATATTACTTCTATTATTACTATAAAAAAAACTGTGTTTAAGTATTAATGTATAAATATTAAAGTAAGTTAAAATGTAAGTATTAAATTAAGTGTTAAAGTATTTAAAAGTGTAAGAAGGTATTAAAAGAAATACAAAAATGCTACATTTAGTAACAATAATATAATACAGATATAAAAGATGCTTAAAATAATGCATTTCGGAAACATTGTAAATGATGAAAGAAAAACATGTCTCAATCTGGAAAATAAATACTTATTGTAAATAGATAAATAGATACAATAAATAGATACAATAAATAACTAGTACAAGAAGTTATATTATTAACTATTCATGTTAAAAAAATACATTTTAAGTTTTATTTGAATTGACAAATAGAAATTGCCAAACTTGTATTGTCAAAAACACAGAACGTTCAGTTGTTATATGTAACATATGTATATGTAGCAGCTCAAAACATGGTAAATACAATGGTTGCACTTGCAATAAAGAGACCATCACTCAGCAAGTCACGCCAATGGAATTTATAAACAGCATCTGTATATATTTTTGCTGTTGTGATGTGAGCACCTCGATTGCTCACACCCCCACACATCATTCACCTCCTGGCGTGTTGTAGCTGCTGTAGGCCATGTATAATATACAGAAGTGCACATACGATCGGCCAGATTGGCGAGTACCAATCGAGTCATTAAATGTGCTTATCGGCCGATACTGATTTTCGGCTGATCGATCGGAGCATGCCTAGCCACAATGTATGCGTTCTGATAATACTTAATAAGGCTTTCTTAACAAAAGGCCACATCTGCAGTTTGCTTAGATATACACTGTCTTTTTGAAATAAAAAAAACATTCAAAGCCAAATTCTCTATTGCTGTTGCACTTGAGAGAGATCTTGGGGTTGTTAATCTGTACGAGCTGATCTTAGTGCAGTCTGTGATGCTGCTGTTATTTACATGTTTCCTGTCTGTGGTGAAATGCATGTCAGTCCCCCGCTCTGATGAGTGTGAGATTAGCATGTTTGGGTTGAGCGCTGTCATTTCCTTGGAAGTCGAGGAGGAGGAGTAGGTGGTCGTTTAATGATTGCAATACAAACATAAAGCGGCGTTGCAAGTTTATCAACAGGAAATGTTAGCTACAGCACTGCGTTGATGTCTGTTAGCATTTGCCTCTCAGGAGAACTACAGACATGTATTGTTAGGAATTTGCAATGCTAATTTTCTGTATTTTTGTTTTGTACTTTTTTTGTTCAATGTATATTATTAGATCATTTCTTGTTTAGCAGGATCATGATTAGCTGTTTTGTGTGCGTGTGATTGATATGATTGATCTGAGCTGAATAGAGGAGTGTGGTGAAAACCGTTCGATAGCATGGAGAGGCGAGATAAACAGGAAAGCACTTGTCAGGCAGATAGATGGGAGTTGTGTAATGTGCAAGTGGAAATTGAGGAGATAAGGTGGACAGATTCCACCTCTATCCTTCTATAAAGCAGAGTTTAACTGACTTAACAGACATTTATCAGCTAAACAGCAACAACCAACACAATACCATTGCAGTTTTTAATCGTTTATATTTAGTAAATAGATGTCTAATTAATATGAATTCATACAGTCTTATTTGTATTTTTTGTCAGATAATGTCTGAGTAACAGATGTGTTTATGGAATTGGCTGGGGTAAACCACCATGCTTTCATGTTTTCTTGAAACTGTATGTTTTACATTCATTCATTCATTTTCTTGTCGGCTTAGTCCCTTTATTAATCTGGGGTCGCCACAGCGGAATGAACCGCCAACTTATCCAGCAAGGTTTTACGCAGTGGATGCCCTTCCAGCCACAACCCATCTCTGGGATACATCCACACACACGTTCACACACACACCCATACACTACGGACAATTTAGCCTACCCAATTCACCTGTACCACATGTCTTTGGACTGTGGGGGAAACCGGAGCACCCAGAGGAAATCCACGCGAAGGCAGGGAGAACATGCAAACTCCCATGTTTTACATACAAGTTTTTAATGAAAACATGAAATAAGAATGAGGAGAGATTTAATGTTTTTGACTTCTGTCAGAAAACAGCATTGTAACTCGTCAATTTTGTTGAATTGTTGAAATTCGTAAATTGTCTTTATAGATCAGGGGTGGCCAACCCTGTTCCTGGAGAGCCACCTTCCTGCAGATTTCAGTTGCTACACATATCAAACACACCTGCCTGTAATTATCATGTGGTGTTCAGGTCCTAATTAATTGGTTCAGGTGTGTTTGATATGTGTAGCAACTGAAATCTGCAGGACAGTGGCTCTCCAGGAACAGGGTTGGCCACCCCTGTTATAGATTTTCGTAGACACTGCATATTGTCTGTTGATGGTAACATTGAGGATAGTAATTACAGGTGAACCTCCATGTTATTCTTTATTATTAACTCTCACTTGACATGATTTAATATAAAATAATAGATGTGCTTTCCGGAGAGGTTGAGTTGTAAATTTGATGGGTTAAATTCAGATTAATCATGCAAAGTCATTTAAAAAAAAAACTTTCTAATTGTCATTAAGAGTAAAGAAAGATAGTGAGCAGTATTGTATTGTGCTAGTTACTAAAAAATAGTAACTAGTTACTTTATTTAAAAAGTAACTCAATTACTTTATTAATTACTTACACTAAAAAGTAATGCATTACTGTTAAAAGTAATTTTTAAGTTACTTTTCAGAAAATAATTTCGGTCACTTTATTTTGATGGTCCAGTTGGTGAATTTTAATTACATTGCATCTACATGCTAACTAATTCTTATTAGATTATAAGTAGACTGTTAGTTGACATGTACTTGCTTAGTTTCTTATAATCAGTTAAATGTCTGTTGAAGGAGCAGTATCCGCAGATATTAAGCTGAAAGTCTACTAATGGACCAACAAAAATAGTGTTACCATAATTTTTAATGCTCCCTTATAGCGTCACTTGAGTGCTGCATGGAGAATACACTGTTAATCAGCTTTACAGTTTTAATTAATTTGCATTCTCACAACTGAAACACATAACAGACCTAAACAAAAAGGTCATTTTTAAACACTAATTTACTTAAGTCGGACCAGCAGCACAAAAATGAAAATATCTCAAGGTGATTAACCAGCTGAGGGATATATTCAGAAACAAAAAAGCAAAAACTAAAGCGTCATGAAAGTGTGTAATTAACCCTGAAACACGTTCCTTGATTATGAAACTAGCAACAACATACAACAAACACAAAACCTTTAAAAATGAAAGTAAATCTGAATCATCATTGAGAATTAATATGGTGAAACTCAGCACCACAAAACTGCTATTAAGGACAACCATAAATGTCATGCATTTAAAACAAAACAGAAACACAACAGCTGCTCAAACATAGAATCCATGAGCAATTTTTAAACAAACCACAGATTAAATGTGGCATGTCAACAACTTATGGAACATCAGCTGAGTATATTCAAAAAACTAAATCTGCTGTTGTATAAGAGCTATAAAACATGTAAAATAATACAGCACTGCATTCAATAACGTGTTCTGAAATATAACAGAAATGTGTCCCTGTGTCTACTAAACTAATCAATTTTGTTTTACAGCTATGTTTACGTATTTGAAACAAAAACAAAGTAGTATAAGTAACAAGTTAATAGACTCTCGGGCTCTATTTTGACAGTCCATGCTCAGAGTGCAAAACGCAGGGCGCAAACGCTTTCAGGGCGTGTCAGAATGCATTTTTGCTAATTTAAGGACGGGAAAATCCACTTTGCGCCGTGCCGCATGGTCTTAAAGGGTTGAGTTTATTTTCTTAATGAGTTATAGGTGTGTTTTGAGAATAAACTAATTAGAGTCTCATCTCCCATTCCCTTTAAGAGCCAGCTCCGTCGCGTCATAAGCGCATTTGCTATTTACAGGACGTAAAGTAAGTCTAAGTGAAAAAAACTGAGCATTTCAATAGCAAACAGTTAACAGTTTTTTTTAAACAGAAAACTGTTTAACAGAGCATCTACTGTAAGAATGAGAGATAATCAATCTACTTTCACTTTCGCTCTTGGATAGGGAAACCTTTACGCACATCCATTTGTCTATAAATAATTTATTGCTTTTGTTAAGCGCAAATATTAGTTTCAAAACTATTTCTAAATTCAGTTCTAATTTCCAGCAAACAAATGAATGAACAATAATAACGAAGTGTGTTTAAAAACCTGAGTTATAACCTAAAACGCATGCTGTGCCCCATATGGTCTAAAACCTGACAGGTGGGCAAATCTAAGCTTGTTTTTAATAAAACAAATATAAATATGGATATAATAAATAATACTGCTAATAATAATAACATTATACAAAAGCAAATTGTTATAAATGAACTGAAAAAGCCTCCCGAGATGAAGAAGACATAAAAGCAGTGGTTTTTCATATTTATGTAGGCTAGAAAATAATGTTTTGTCATATTTTAATCCTTTATTTTTATATCCTATATCTATTCTTATTATATCCTATATATATACTTAATATTTAAATTTTTTTCATATGTAAAGATATTTGCCTATTGCTCTCTTGTGTGTATTAAGCAGTGTGTAAGCGAGGCGCAACTCTGCGCTGGAGTTTAGACCGGGTTTGTTTTGGTCTAATGAAAAATCTATTTTAGTTTCTCAAAATAGCAACGTGCCTGCAGTGTGCCTCAGAACGCCTTCCTTTTTAGACCAAAACGCCTAAGGGCGCACATTTGAGCGCAAATGCATTTGCTGTTTAAACAGCGTAGCGCAACGCCTCAAAACGACTCTTGCCCCAAGCTGAAACTAGCAAAAGACTATTGCGCCAAGCCTTGGGCCACATTGCGCCGGGTGTATGATAGGGCCCTCGGTCTCTCGCGTGGGCTTACCTCGCACGCATTCGATCTCTCTCTCCTGGGCACACTTGGCTGCCTCTCTTTTGTGCACTCGGCCTCTCTGCTTTTGCTTTACTTTTGTCCAGTCTGGCGACACGACGTGTCTTCTTTACAGTGATTGGTTGGTATCCACCAATCCAACGCATCACCGCTGTAAACAGAAAGATTTAGGCTAGACTGCAGCCAGAATTAATTAATTTACCAAGTAACGAACAAACGCATCATATTGTAATGATAACGAAGTTAATATATTTAAAAAGTTATGCATTACAGTATTAGTTAGTTACTGTCAAAAGTAATGCCGTTACAGTAACACTGGACACGCGTTAATGCCCAACAGTGGTTCTGACACTAGGATACATCAAGATGCTCTTATTAACTTGACCTTATTGACCTTTTGTGTTGTTCAAAGTGAGTTCATTTGTTTTACAAGAAAGGAGTACATCCTTAAAATCTCATTAATGTATGTAGCATCCTATCTAGCTTTCATAATATAATCAATTTATTACATAAAATACTAAGCCCTGTCCTTCCTTCCTCCTCTACAAATCTATTCTGCTCAGAAATATGTCTGAGCGTGGAAGTGAAATGCGTTGTGAAAGCCACTTCACATTGACTATATCATTGACAGTCTGGTAGCCGTTAAAGTGAGGAAGCAGCTTGAGCGAAATGCTGTTCCTGTTGGCTGTCTACCCTGTTCACTCTCCGACTGAGTCTGTCTGATACCTTGGAGACAGACGCTGTCTCTGTCTGTAACTAGAGCTCTTTATTTTTGTCCGTCTCGGTCCCTCTTGCTCTTCACAGTTCCTCCTTTTCGTCTTCTCTTTCTTTTCCTGTCGCACTGTGCTGAGGATGGATGATGTCGTTAAAGCAGCTCCCTCCGAGAGGGGCCGACCAGGCTCTCCGGCAGCACCTTGGGAGCCTAATCATTTGTCCGACCTCTATCAAACCCTCCTCCTTCATGCCTCCATCTTTTATTCTCACTTCATTGCTCAGTAGCTTGTGGGAGCCCACAGGCTGTAGCCGCGTCTCCCCTGTGGGGTCCACCATTGATTAAGTGACACTCTGTTGAATTGTCGTTTTTCATGGTAAAGAGGTGCCTATATTTCCCATTATGATGCCCGCCCCTGGGAACCGGACTGGTGCTTCACACCGTATGCAGGCTTGAGCGTTTTCCAGCCAACTTTTTAATAGATTTCACCTGCAGCTAAAGGGACATTTGTGCCTTTTAAATGTATTCAGCTGACAAAACTGGATGAATGCGGTCGTGTTTCAAGAGGCTGTTTTCTCCCACCTCAATCCTCTACAGTGTGCAGTAATTATGAGTAGCCTTGACACTCTGCTGTGAGCTCCTCATTAAAGTCCAGCTATGTCTCATCGTTTAACTGTTGTTTGAGCGTATTGTCAGTAGGAAGCACATAAGAGCGAATGACCAAATTAGCTTTGCTGGTGTTCTGCTGCTCAAATCTAAATTTAACAGCTTGTAAATGAATGAACAAGGTAGTTATATTTCCAGTAGTCACCTTCTCATTAAAGTTGTGACACCAGTTGGAGCTTCATTAATGTCTTAGGGTTGGGCGATGTCGACCAATTTTGGCATTGTTCGATGTCTAATGTGAAACATTTTGATGGATGATGGCATCCTCGTCGTAGGTGGTGGTAAATGAATTATTTATGAATAATTAATTCATTCATTACAATTAATTATTTGTAG